AAACAAAGCCTGAGAAAACTCTCAGTGAGTCTGCAATCAAATAAGTAGAAGGAATGGTCCAAGAATCTCAAATCTTCTGCCAACCTTTTTGACCATTTACTGGCTGAAGTTACTAAATTCTTCATGCTTCATGGGTGGGTAGGATTCACAAATGAAAGGGACTATCCTGCAAATTCGCTAACCACAGAGGATGATTTGCTCACTTTCCAGTACCTGTGACTCATGTCTAACAGAGTGGGAGTGAGACAGAAAGAACTGTGATTGCATCTGTAATCACAGAAAAAGAAGTATGTTAAAACGTTAACACACGTATTCGCTGTCTTACTGTTCTTTATGACTCTGGACTATATGTAGCTCAGTTCTTATAATAACAGAATCACAGAATCATCTAGGCTGAAAAAGACCTTGAAGATCATCCAGTCTAACCATTAACCTCACACTGACCATTCTCAACTCCACCAGATCCCTCAGCGCTGGGTCAACCCGACTCTTAAACCCCTCCAGGGATGGGGACTCCACCCTGCCCTGGGCAGCCCATTCCAAAGCCCAACAACCCCTTCTGCAAAGAAATGCTTCCTAAGAGCCAGTCTAAACCTTCCCTGGCTCAACTTGAGGCCATTCCCTCTTGTTCTATCACTTGTTACTTGGTTCAAGAGACTCATCCCCATCTCTCTGCACCCTCCTTTCAGGGAGCTGCAGAGGGTGATGAGGTCTCCCCTCAGCCTCCTCTTCTCCAGACTAAACAACCCCAGTTCCCTCAGCCTCTCCTCATACGACATGTGCTCATAAGTAGCAATAGAGGGTTTAATATGAATAAATAATTGACATTATCCGAAATTATAACCCTAGGTTGGAAGTAGCTAAAATTGAAAACCTATCTCATAACACAAGGTAGCTCAGTTATATGGTTGTTCTTAGAAATGAGATCTTGAGCTCAGATGTGAAACCTTGGTTGCTATTATACTGACCAGTAAACATAACATTTTCTTAAACAGTGACACAGGAAGCACAGGAAATCATGCAGAAGTTAAATTAAATCAAGAACTTAGAGTACTATTATGGATCTAGTCCCTGACTAAAGGAACTCCTCTATACCCATTCCTAGGCACAGTCAGTGACACGTCCACAGAGACTCATCCCATCTCTGAACATCCAACAGGCCTTGTTCCTCTTCTCTCAACTATTGCTTCTTCTGTTTCAGTTTCTATTCTTAATGATTTAAACTTTCACCTTTCTTCTTTGTGTTCTGTTTCACCCAGTGTTGAACCACACATGTCCATTTCTCTCTTTCCTTAAATTTGTGATGCTAGTCTTGACCTGGATTTCTGATGTGTATATATGAATTTCTCTTTCAACCTTTATTCTCACCATTGGTCAAGGCAAACTTTGTGCTGATGAAGTAAGAAGCAAAAGCAAGATCTGCAAGTTCATTTGAACAGGCTGACGTGACTCAATTTCCTTTTATACTCAGATGAGAAAGTAACCTAAAACTTAAGACCTAGATTACAGAGTTGAATTGAGTGATATTTTTTTTAACAAAAGAACGTGAAGATGAAAGGTTAATACACTGAACAGCTTCAACATACAACCATCAGGAACATTTTGAGGACTAAGTGACTCAGAGGTGTAAAACATTGACTGAGAAGTTCAGTTTCTGACCCCCAGCAGTTTTGGTGTCAGCCAATGGCACTCTCCCCAAGGTGACAAGGAAATTATCCATGCAACACCTTTGCAGGATTTTTGGCATCACTTTACATCCAAAGAGCTCAAACTGGACTCAACAAGGTTATAGAGTTCACAGAGCTTTTGATCTCATAGCCTGAGTCAGCTCTGTCTGGAGTGCCACTGTCACATAACAGCCATTTCAGGAATGCAATTTCTTCATGTCTCTTCTGCATTACTGCTTGGTGGTTCAAGTTTTGTGGATTGCTTCAGGTCCTGTGGATAGAGCAGAAGGCTGCAGGCATTTCCCTATTTTATCTAGAGGCTGTGGATGTAGTTTCATGATCACTCTAACCCATCAAAATCATCAGTTTCTGACACGCAGGCTGTTCCCTAACTTCCTGTGTGTTTCTGCAGAATCAGCTGATCGTTTTGCCATCCAAACACCATTGCTACTATGTTGGATGGCAGCCTGTCCTTATGTGGGACTAAAGTGATGCTGGAACCAGACCTGGTGAGTACCATCACTCATGTAGCTGTTTTCCTTCGGTGCTCTGTCTGCTGGAGCAATTGCGCATTTCTCTTACGCCAAGCCTGTGAGTATATGCACTTTCCAAAATGGGCATCCCTCTTGTTCTGAATCCTGGTCTAGATAAGGTGGTAACTGCTCCCTCAAAGCTTTCAGAGTTCATCCTGTCTCACAAACTGCAGTTTCCACATTCTTGCTCACCCTCATAACCCTTTCTGTTTCTCTCCCTAACATTTAGTGCCCTTGGTTTTTTGAGTCTTTGTATTTATTTATTTACTTCTAATAGCTCTCTTTCACATCTTGTTCTTCCTAATGACTGTACTTAATTATAGGAGAGAAGCATCTGGGAGAGAACCATCCTCACATCCACAGCAGAGGGTGACTGCATGATGGCAGGAGCAATGCCAGTTCAGCTCTGCTGGAATATTGTTTTTATTGCTCACAAAACCTTGTGTGTTGTTCTTTTGTACTGTGGTCTAGAAATCTAATTGAAAAATAAGCTAGGCGAACATTTTTCTGTGTAATTTCTAGTCAGAAACTGCTTTTTAATGTCTCTAGAAGAGCCCTGACACAATGCTTTCCTCTTTTTTAGTGAGCTACCCTATACTAATGATACGGTTTGGGGTCAGCATTCATGACTGCAGTTCAGGCATAATCTTCAAGCACTGCTGGCCTCTGCATGTCCTTTTTTTAACAGCAGGAACTGTTAAATCACTTTTCATATATGTCTGAAGCTTATTTTACTTATAACATTTAAACAGTGAGTAATCTCTGAATTCTTGAAGATCTAATAGCATGTTAAAGCACGATCTTCTGTTAACTCTGCTAAACACTTTGTTATTCTGGCACATTTAGCTTAATTATTAAACATAAAACAAGTTCAGGGGAGAAGTGCATTTATAATGAAAAATCCTCTGCTCAGCTGCGTATTTCTTCATTTGATCAGTGGCACTTTTTACTTGCTTAGTAGAAAACCCCTGTAACTTGTAGCAGTTGAACAGCTCAGAGAATTGCTGCCCATCTGAGCTTTAAGACTGACCCAACTGTGGACAGAAGTAGTCCTGATGGGTAGGTCTGTACTACATGTCTGAGCATAGTGATGGTCTCTGACAGCTCAGCAGCTTTTCAACAGTTCTCTCTGCATGAACAAAGTAGTATTAGATGTTGAACGTATTCAATTGCTATCACAGTGAAGCAAGAAAAAAGGCTTATGGCTTCCTGTATGTCAGATGAGAAAACCCTCAACCATTCTCGGTCAAACAGTCACACCAAAGGCCCTTTATTCACACGGGTTATATATGTCATATGCTATGGATGCATGAAATGGCAAAAAAAAAGAAGAGAGAAGGCAGAAAAATAAGAAATTATAAGGTAATATTTAAGTATCTTATTTTGTCAATATTGAAAAATCATCATTTATCTCTGAGTAATATAAAATGTTGCTGTCTAGGCTGTAAGTATGCTGTTTATAACAACAAAAGGATTGTACCTTCTTAAAGCCAGTTTGAAATGTTAACGATATACATTGGAAAATTAATTTGTGCGAAGAGCAGAAAGTCATCTTCTTAAAGCTTTAAGTCTTTTCTTCTAGTGAATTTTCTGGGAAAGCAAATTTCTCATGCCTGCCCCAGGATCACTAGGCAGGTATACAACTTCATCCATTTAAATGCGTCTAAAATCATGCATTTTAAAAGGGAATGAACAGAAAGGTTTATATCAGTCTTGGATACAACACTCCAATGTCCTTCTAAAGATGTTTTGCCTGATGCTTCATAAATAGACAGTTTCTCTGAAAATGTTTTGCAGTGGCAGTCTATGATTTTACAGATGAGTGTAGCAGAATTAAGAATTGCCAATTAAAAGAATTTTACTGATTTCAAACTTTAAGAGAAGACCCTGCTTTTTTAAGAAACCATTTTTCAGCTCTTTGCTCTTTTGAAACTCTTTGTAAGGATAGATTTCATTAGTAAAATACGCATGTGCCCCACATGCTACCCCTGTATACTTGTGCAGAAATCCAAATGCAAACCCAAACAACTGAACAGTCCACATTTTGCCTTAAGTCTAAATAAGAATGCATCTGTATGTGGCTATGCTCAACAAGTGCCAATAGGACTATAATTTTCAGAAGATTGTTCCTAACTAATTTTTATCTTTAATCATTTTTCACAGTAGAGTAGCTCAGGTGAAATTCTATAGCAAAAAGGTGTGGAGCTGAAGCAAGAAGAAATTAGATTTTCATCTGTATATTTTTGTCTTCAGTGTGCTCTATGCATCTAGAAACTGAAACTTTTGCAGACTTCTGGGTGTCCTGCACTCGTTCAGCAAGATGCTAAACAGATGGCTTGGGTGTCTCCATAAAGTATCTGCAAATTATAGGTAAAACAACATTTCAGTAATTTTCCCACCTTCAATTTAACTTTACAACATGAGTGCAAACTAAACTTGTATAATTTAAAAACAAACAGTGTCTTGGCTATTTCAAATGGCTGAATCTAGAGGCAAATAACTGGGGAAAAAAATAAACTAGAATGCAGTTTAGTAAATTAAAAACTCATTCATAATTATATAAAACATGGTTTTACCACCAAGAGGCATGGATTGTTGCTGTCATATACAGTATGACTACAGTTATAAGGTTGTATACTGCATGGGATAACATAATTTCAAACACAATTCAGTAAAATATCCTTTCATGAATCTGTGACATCCCATAGTTAACAATAAAGGAAGCAACAAAGAAAATGTGTCTATTTTAAAAATTCTAATTTTTCACTTTCAGTAGCCTTTGGAAGGGGAACTGAGGAAAATGCCTGACAGCAGCATAATCCAGCAGAACCTTTCCTCCAACGAGACGCTGCCAGACACCTCAGAGGGACTCCACACTCTTCTCATAGCCCTGTACCTCATTGACCTGGCTGGCGGCACCTTGGGGGTCATCATGATGTCCCATCAGTTGTTTAAAAGGAGATCACAATCTGTGATGACCATTATCATCATCAACCTCCTGGTGCTGCACACCTTTATGCTAGTCAGCATCCCCTTCCGCCTCAGCTATTACTTTTTACAGGAATGGAAATTTGGGAGGTTTGCCTGCAAGCTGGCGAGCGCCATCATCTACCTCCACATGTATACCACCTTCTCATTTTATGTGGCTATCATCATAATACGCCTCTTCCGACCTGAGTTTAGGAAGTGCTGCACTACAACATGGGTGGCTGCTGTCTGGCTGGTGGGAGCACTGGTGATCACACCTGTTTTTCTCTCATACTATGGCACCTCAAAGACACACCACCCTTCTGAATGCTTTCAGTTCCACCGGGACATCCAAGAGGTGCCCATGGTGATCATTAACTACTGCTTGGTTGGGATTTTGGTGGCAGTTTGTGCTGTGCTCACCATAATCCAGTTGTCTGTGATCTACAAACTAGCTGTGAAATATTGGCCTGACATCAACTCCCATGTGGAATTCAGGGCTCAGGCAAAGAGTTTCTTCTTCATCTTGGTAACATTAGTGTGCTTTATGCCCCATCATGTATTCAGAGTCTATTACATCCAAAACTGCCACCTGGATAAAGACCATAAACTACTCACATACAACGAAATTTTTTTAGCTTTAACAACAATGTGCTGCTTGGATATGCTGTGCTTCATAGCAGGAATAGCCCACTGAACTGTGAGCTACAAGGAAATCCAGCTGCAGTGTGTCAATACGGGCTTTTGGTAGAAATAAAACTCTGTTGGGACTTTGCTGAGCTAGGGAGATTGCTGAACTTCCAGCATGGCTGTATAGGTCTGTAGCATTGTTTGGCTTTTGCAGACCAGTAAGATCCACCTTTCAGAAGCTACTGGTTTTTATCTTCCTTCTTGAAGGTAGACACATAAGTCTTACTCTAGTTTTTGACCTAAGACTTGTGCCCTGAAGATTCATTAAGATTTTCCTTAGCTGTCCCTCTCTAACAATGACAGCACAAGTATCGATTCCTTTCTATTTTTTCCTCAAAGTGTCTCAGTAGCAATAACGCACTGTGGCCAGTAAGTTGTCTGCTCTGAATGTCTAACCACTTCTTCTGAAAACTGTGGTACTGAAGGGAAGAGAGGGAAGAAAGAAATTCCTTTACAGGATTTTTGTACTAGTCATTTTAGATAGCAAGGACATAAACTCTATTCAAATAAGTATTCAAGGCGTGACAGAGGGTATGAATGAGATATTGTAATAACATATTTCAGGTAAATCCTTTTATTCACTTATACAAAGTGTATATTAAATTAAATTATATGAAAAAAATTTATCATTCTCACAACTTCACCTGCACTCCAAAACCACAAGCAGCATACTGAATTGTGGTGATTACACATTTAGAGTGAGTGAGAGCAGAACAGGCCACAAGTTTCAAATCACCTTATGTCATTCTCCCATCATGACTGGATCTGTGGCTGTTATCCTTTAGGTCCATTGCAGCCAGAGAAATACGGGTTACTGTAGTCCATTGTTTTGCTGATTAAGGATACCAGTTAAACTCAGACACCAGAGTGAAAAGAGCAGGTGTATTTTACCGGTGATAACCAATGTAACAATGTAATACAGAAAGCGTGCAGTAAGAAAAAGCAGAATAGTGCACTTAATGCAGCAAACAGGAGAATACAGGGTAATGCATCAATCATTACTACACGAGAGAGAGAACAGTGATTAAGAAAGATCCCTCACCACTTGCACACGTTCCCATCACCCAGCCCCGCAGTGGCTGGGCAGCCCCGGTCACAGCGAGGGTTTGCAGAGCCCGTCCCGGCAAGGGGGAAATCCTACGCGGTGCCTCCACCCGTAGGTGAGGCTGCCAAAGTCGCTGTGAGCAGGCCCAGCCTTATATACCCCAAAATCAGCAAGCCAGAAGAGCTGGCACCTTTGTTTTGAGTGGAAAATTTCTGGTTTCATTCTCCGGTTGGATCCCACCCAAAGCCTGGCCAGAGCTCACGGGGGAAACCAAGGGAGTTTCTAACAAGGCAGATACTTGGGTTCTCAGCCCTGAACAGGCTAAATAAGGGAAGGTGGATAAATTCTCTCAGCATTTCATCCTCACTACTGATTATATGCTAAGCCATATCTTTCACTAGCGGTCTTACATACTTTGTTAATGGCTACATGCGAAGTCAGCAGCCTCAGCTCGGGGCCTGTTGTTCAGGGTTCAGTATTTCAATGCTTTTGCACTTTTTACGTCAGCATAAGTGGGTTGTTATAACTTTGTACAATACCTACTAGCACAATGGTTATCAGTTAAAAAATACACAGGATTCATCTATAGGTCAACTCTGGCTTGGGCCTGTCGTCCAAGCCTTAGCACTTCATCCATTAACTGGATCTGGAATTCCAATTGAGAGGTCTGGTCCTCTATTGAAGGATCAGCCACTCTCTAGGAGAGGGAAAGATTTTACCAGCCTTTGAAAAACCTTTGATGTCTTTTCACTTTCTGTTGACAGTTGATTTATTATCAGATGCCATATTTTTTCCATTTGCACATGTAACAAAGCAAAACCAGAATAAACTAATTGAGCTGTGTTTAATCAGTTCAACATATGCTTATGCATGTGTATACAAACTTGTGCTGGAGTATATATTTTCTCCATTAGACAGATTATACTATTTGGGAACCACATCCGTTCTGGGAATCTCTGTTTTATCTTCATTATGTAAAAGTTTTTTTATGATTGCATTCTGACTGTTCTGCTCAGTGCAGAAGGTCTCTAATCCTTCTGTCAAAGGCTCCACTGTCATTTACTGCATCCCAACAGCTTGCAGCCAGATTTCTCCCACCCTAGACTCCCAGGATTCACACAAGGGTATGCTTCTTCCTTCATAGCTCCATAAATTGCCATATTTTTATTCTGGCAGTCTTTGCTATGGAAATGCTATGACCCTTGGATTCAAAACGGTCAAAACTTGGTTTGGGAGGATTAAAAAGTTACACTTATAAAGTAATGATAGTGATGCCTCAGTTTGATGTAATTTCTTTGAACAAAAGAGCCTACACCTCCTGAATAAATGTTGCTGCCTTTACATTTCTGTAAAAGCTTTGTTAAAAACTCACAATGGTTTCAAGATCCTTTCTGCCTCTTTTAAAAAGTGGGAGGTGTCCAGAGGACCAGCAATAAGTCCTGAAGTCTTCTGAAAATCCTGCCCTTAGGGCTTCCTTTAATGTTACCTGGTCCACCCCTGTTGCTTGCAGAGCATCAAGGTTTCCTCTCTTTCCCACTCTGCCCTGCAGTGAGTAGGCTGGGGGTGGGCAAGACACTGGGAGGGGACACAGGCGGGGCAACTCACCTGAACTGGCCAAAGGGATATTCCATACTATATGACGTGCTCAGCAATGCAAACTGAGGTAGAAGAGGGGAGGGGATTGACTTCTTTGGTGGTGATTGCTCAGAGACTGGCTGGGCATCGATCTACTCATGGGAGATGATAAGTGATTTCCTGCTTGTTTTCTTTCTTCTCTTTCCTTCAAACTGTCTGTGCCTTGAATCATGAATTTTGCTTTTGTTCTTCCTATTCTCTGTCCTGCCCTACTGGAGGTGGAGGGACTGAGAGAGTAGTTGTGTGGGTGCTCAGCTGCTGGCTGGGGCCAGCCCACTGCACACACCTCACGCCGGAGACCCTAGCCCCCCGATTGACTGAAAAGTGGTTGTAACTGAAATCTGCATCTATAGTGCTTCTGCCTTGCAGCCACAGCCAAACAACCCTTATTATTCACCATTGCAATGAGGCAAAGTATGGAAAGTGAAGTACAGTTTATGCTTCAGCTTCTTCTCACAGTTTTTAGAAACTACAACAGTTTTTGCATCAAGGCTTCAGGTAGAACTTCATTCTAGTGCTTGCTGTACCATCTAGATCGTACCTCATCCCCATTCCTTCTTCCACTCACAGTCACTTTCTTTAACCCTGCCCATGAACCATACTCTTCTCTGCCTCTTGGCCTTCAACATTGATTCATCATTCCTGTAATTTAACCTAAGCTCTTTTTTTTTTTTTTTTTTTTTTTTTTTTTTTTTCATTTCTCTGTACCGTCTTTCATGGCTAGGGCTCAGTCATGGGAGGTCAACCACTCACTGGTCTCAGTATGGTCCTCCTAATTCTGAGGATAATGGCTTGAACATTGATCCCAGTGTTGTTAGATCTAAGACTCACATTCAGGTGGTAGACATAAGCTGTATTCAATACCCAGTCCCCCACTGAGATCTGGAAGCACTCTAAAAACTGGTTAAAATAGAAAGTTATCACTCTTCAGGAGGATAATCTGAGAATTCTGAAAGGGTAATAATATTGAGCTCAGATTGTAGGGTACTATTCTTACCATGAATTATGTAATGACACATCCCCTGAAAACCAGTTAAAAATGGTTGGTTTGAATGCCATTTGCATGATCCAAGTAATTCTGGAGATAATTATACACATTAGTAATTGCTTTCACGTTAACTGAATATGTAAAATTGTAAACCATTTAGTCATCCCATTCATCTTTAATGGCACCAAATGAACACTGGGAAAATCCCCAGACATGCTGAAGGAAAAGAATATCAAACTGTTAAATTTATCTGCCATTGTTGTTCTCTGCATGAAGTCCTGCATAAAAAGAGCAGGCAAACAAAACAAAGCCAAAATCCTATTTGTAAACCTGATTTCCTAAGTTGGTTTGATAACAGAAAGCTATAGGTGGAGCAAGAGTATTCTTACTATCGAAAACTAGTGCACTCACTGCTGTTACAACTACGGTGCTGCTATAGGTGGCCTACTTCTACCTAACTCAGGCATATACTTTTAAACAGTGTTGATCAGGATGTGAGCCCCACTCATAGGCAAACTGCACAAGGGGCATATCTTTTTTTAATTCATATCTGCTAGTACACAGAACAGCAGTGCTTAGATAGCAGAAAGTCTCCATTTCCTTCTGATGCATCTCTTCCTTCTGCCTGCTTACAGAGAAAGGTCATATTGATGATGTGGTCAGATGGGCATGCCCCTCACTGTAAGCAAGCAGAAAGAAGAGATGCATCAGAAAGAAACAAAGGCACACTCCCCATCCTGTTTGTTTTGTTGTTGTTGTTTTTTTTTCTTCTCCATTCTAGCACTGGCATTCTGGGCACTAACGTATTTTGGTGGGAAAAAAAGAAAGGATGATCAAGTAATTCTCTTTGCCTCAGATAGCTCAAGATAAACCCACAGAAACATGAAAAAAGCATTCTAAAAAAAAAACAAAAACAACCAAACCAAAACCCCAAACCAACAAAGCTACAAATGTCCAGCAAAACCCACAATTTCTTCATGTCTTCTTTCCTACACTGTTTTCAGCTGTTGGTTGCGGCGGGCGGAGGAAGCAAGCAGCCGATTCAATGTGAATGATAGAGCAAGCTTCAACTTTATTGATAGAAATCACACCTTATATAAGCAGTCTACAATACACTACTTGCAACTCTATTGGATACATTTAAGAAACTATATTATAATATCTCAGCCATTGGGTACATCTAAAAGGTCACATTATAATATCCCAGCCCCTTGTGGCATTTCTGGTATGCATAAACATCTTTCTTGCTGTAAACCTGCTTCTCTCCCAGGGTTGTTTTGCTTTCACCCCCAAGGTCATAATGCGCCCCAACTTATCTCTGTGTTCTCACAACAATCCT